CAATGAAAGTGGGAAGTAAATATATAGAAATTAAAAACACTAGCAAAGTTAATTGTTTTGTGAAAAGAAATACTACCTTCTGTTCTAAATATAATATCTAATCTGTAGTACAAATTGTATTACAAACTAAATATTAAATTTAGGACTGAAAGTAGTATATTAGTTTTCTCAAAATATCTCATTTAATTATTTACGGAAACTGTCCTATAAATAATAATGTTTTTAACATGTGCAATCAATGGAAGTAGTTTTTGAGAAAAGTAATAAATTTGGAGGACTAAAAAAATCTCCTAACTCACTCGTCATCTAAAAACTCTCTTACTATCAAAGGAAGCAATTCTTTTTTACTTGCAATTGAAGCCTCCTCAATGGCCGTATAATCTCATGGCATATAGACTTTTTCATAAGTGGAAGGTGACAAGTTCTGTTCTGTTTATAACCTCAAATTGTTAAAGCTATTAGTGCTTGCACCTTTAATTTTGGGGGAGGGGGGAAGTGGGGAAGAAATTGAAGCCTCCTAATTTGGAAACAAATACAATTAGCTGAGGTACAATCTTGTGAGAGTCAAACAGGGTCAATTGATTCAATGAAACCAATGAACCAGCTCCTAGTCCAATGTGACGTTCGGTTTATGAAAATCAGTTCAAACCCATGCATAGACTCAAATGAAATCAAATGCACCAAAAAAAAAAAAATGAAAAACGAGCTATAATCAGTATAACCAAATAGGCGTGACAAACCAAAATTTGAATTTATACTAGAAGAGATACCAATATTTAGTACTCATTTGGTTCTTAATATAAGACATATTTAACTAATTTGATTAGAAAGTTAGGTAAGTTAGTAATTATAAGAAATATGACATTTTTTTCTAAAATATCATAATTATCATTCTTAATATCCTCCTTCCCTCATTTATTTGATTATGACTGAGGAAGTATTCATAAGGGTAATTTAAAAAAAAAACTAATAAATATGAGAAATAAGGGGGTGTTTGGCAAAATCAAAACCTAGGTTTCAAAATCACTTTTCCGCAAAACGAGGTAACCTCCTCCATATATTTACTTCGTAATCCGTAAAAGCACTTCTGAAACTATGGTTTGGTTTCTATCCAAACACCCCTTAAGTCTTGTATTTAGAACCAAGGTTAACTTAACAATTAGGTTTTATATTAAAGATCGGAAGAGTATTTTACTGTGTCTCAAATATGATTGTTTTTAATGCAAGAATACATCTGCTTAGGTTGGGGGGAGGGGGAAGAAAAAGAAAAAGAATGCATGTGTATTCCGTTATTACCTCCGTCTTCCCAATAAAAGCTTTAAACCTTGCTTAGTTGGGCTGATTGTTAGAACATTGGGCCGAAATCAAATTGGAATGCCAATGGGTTTGATATTTATATCTTCTAAGGTTGGGCCAAGGCATGGGAAAGTTGGAAGCCCACTAATACCATACTTATTTTATGTAAAAATTTCCCAATTGTACTTTTTATCCTTCACAAAAAATGGTTTTTTATTTTTAATCATTATTCATTAAATATCATTATTCATAAAATATTTATCTTTTAGCGATACTATAATCTCCAAATTTTAGTTCTAAAGATGTACTTTCAATTATAAACAATAAATCTGAGGTCAAAAAAAGAATTAGAAACAATAACCATGATAACAATTTTTTTTTAATTCAGATAAAAAGTTTTTATTAGGCTTGAGAACAAAATTTTTAACCATAGACAAATTTAACGACAAAATTTCATCAATTTTCAAATTTCAAATTTAAAATAAAAATTCAAAAAACAATGTTATACGCCCAAATTTCTAAATGCATGCATTTCCGTTTCTCTCCTTTCTTCCTCTTGGCCATGAATACTATCACCTCAAAATATGCTTGATCATGTTGAAAATATTTCTTAATACTAAAAACAAAAATTTCTTTTAATTGAGTTTTATTTTATAAATTTTAGGGATAAGTTTTTAAATATGCGTAATAAATAGTTAAATACTAGGGAGATTTGTTTCTGCTCAATACATTACTTACCCAATTATGAAAAAAACGTGAGAGGCTAAAATTTTCAGAAAGTTAAATCTTTCGGTGAACTAATTAGATATTTTTTTCTTTTACAGTTATGGAAAGTTTGACTTCCCATTCAAAGTTACTCTAACCAACTGACCCTTTAGTATTTAAAATATGAAACTTAATTGATTAACTATGGTTTTGGAGAGAAAATTTGAGAAAAACCATCTTAACTCACAAAATCCAATAATTGATTAATTACATCGAAATTATGGTTTCAAGGGTAAAACCATGATTTTCCACTTGGCTTCATGGAAAATCATGGTTCGCCAATATATATAAACATATTAATTACTAATTAGATATATAAAGAATAAATTGGTCTTACATATATATTATTTATATCTTTTTCAGTAATTTATATATGAAAAAAATAAATATGATAATAACCATCCAGATACTCCCAATTTATGTAAATATTTTTTTACACAGAATTTATTCTACTCAAAATCTATTTATAAAATAACCTTTTTCACTTTCTTAAGAAGTTATTCTCCAAAAACTAATCCAAACACCCTCTAAACAAGCACACAAACACAATGATAATACCCATTTCAGACAATCAGATAATGAAGCAAAATTAACATATAATTAAAAAAAATATTTATCAATCTCTTCTCCCTATTCATTAATATTCAATTACTATTTATAGAAATGGTATTTTATTATACAAGTACTCACACGGATATTATATATCTTCCAAAAGATTAAATATTCCCATAAAAACGGTTTCTTTTTTTTTTTTGGGGTGGAACAAAATGATTTCATATTATCTACACATATTGTTGTTGGATTTCATACTCAGGAATGGCAAATAAATGAAAAATAAAAATAAAAGGATTCCATTCTCATGAGGAGAGTTCAATGAACTTACGTTAAAATGCATTCAATTCCATTCCTTAGGCTAAAGAGTTGTATTCTGTTTTCGCGTGATCATCAAAGTTGATTCAATTCCCTGATTTAAAATTGCCATCATCTTCTTCACAAACCAACTTCATTTACAACAGGCTCAAATTGACTTGATAAACTTAGCAGGCCTTTCAAAATGGGAGAATTACATTCAAGTCCCACACAAGAGAAATAATCACTACAAAGTCCCAAGTAACAACCTGAGCAGCCTGAAATAACAAGTCCTACAGTGAGAATGACAACCTCTGGGACTTGTTTTTTAATTACTTGGGACCTCATTGTAATTCTCCCTTTCAAAAATTGTTTTCTAAAGAGTTGTATTCTGTTTTCGTGTGATCATCAAAGTTGATTCAATTCCCTGACTTAAAATTGCCATCATCTTCTTCACAAACCAACTTCATTTACAACGGGCTCAAATTGACCTGATAAACTTAGCAGGCCTTTCAAAAATTGCAAGTCTAATCTATGAAGTGAAACAAGGCCTTTAAAAAGGTTTGAAAACTATTTCTATTTTCAAATAACCTAGGCCCTTTACAAGTTATCTGGCTTATTTCCATCTCTATCCTTTTCTTCTAAATGTAATAACTAATATGAGTAATTCACATTCATCATAAATGTGAAATCTTAATACTTTATCTTCATAATTTATTATTTTTTCTCAAATCATTTTTATTGGTGATACATATGAAGAAAGTTTTTTCAACCAACAGGAATTATTTTTAATATGAGTGATTAAACTAACATAGTAACATAACTAGTTTTTTTTTTAATATCTCTGAAATTAGTTACTTCCTACATTTAAAACATGAGGAGTATTTTGTTTGCAAGTAGTTGCGCTTTATATCTAAAAATTAAATTAGGAGAAATATTTTTAAAAAATTGTTTGAGGAAGGAGATTCCTGATTCTGTTCATATGAGGACCACAGTGTTAATTTTCAGGCTCTGCTCCTACATTGAATTGGCAAGGCAGGTCATAAAAATAGGGCTTTTTAATGGACCGCCTGCCCTGCTCTCTCTCCCTGATTCAGAAATCAGAATGCCCTCTTCTTCCCCTCTCCATATTTTCTGTGGTCCTATATCCCACTTTTATGGATTCCCATCCTAACAAATTACATATTCCACCCCATGCAATCTTTTTTTTTTTTTTAACTCCCTTTTCTCCTTTGAATTTAATAATCAATCAATTTTCAGGAAACTGAATTTCTCACCATTTTATTGGTTGCCCTTATATATATATGGCTCAATACCCGAAACTTGTTTGTTACTCTCTTTGATCCTAACAACTTTTATTAAGTTAATGAAGTTAGTTAAAACTAGTTTTTTTTAAAATAAAATATCAAAATTGTCCTGGATAAAAGCCATTAGTTAAAAGAGTTTTAAAACCTCATGACACCCTCTTTTCCTTTAATCCATCATCATCCATGTAAAATATATAAAAATAAATAAATTCTGGACCTTTTTTTGGCCACCAATAAAATTTTTATACCAAACGATATGATTCGTATCGTAACTCCTTTATCAAGTTTCACATGATACACGAGTTAGCACTGAGTTGCTATGAAATATAAAATATATTACTTCTGGTTTTAATTATAAAAATTTATTTATAGTTTACAAAGAAGATCTTATAATTAAGACAGGAGGTAATATAATCTATTATTTTAAATATAAAATTTATTTTATAGTACAATTAACATTACAAATTAGATATTATATTTAAGTTTGAAGGTATTAAAATATAAAACAAATTAATAAATACTTGGATACATTTCTTATACTTCATATGCCATCCATCATCTACTTAATATGGAAAAAAAAAAACAACAAAGTAATTATAAGTTACCGGTGACAAATACACATGACCTCTTCTTTTTCTTTTGCTTTCTTTTTTTTTTCTGGTGCCCTATGTATGACCTTTCTGCAGAGTGCAGTGCTTGCACTGGAGTCTGGACATGCCTACTACGATCTTAGAATCCTAATGAAACAACAGAGGAAGGTCGAGGTTTCTGGGTAGAGAAAGATCAAACCGGAGGCCTTCGCGACGTCGACGGCGAGCTCTGATCAGTAGCATTCTGCTTCAGGAATTTCACAGAGCTCCAATCCTTCGAAACAAATGGCGGCGTCATGGAGATCATCAACGCCGATTTCTCCATATCATCGCTTCCTTCCTTCGTGCTCCATTCTCCCTGCAAAACGACGTCGTTGCTGCTAGCGCAACGTCGAAGCCTTCTCCTCTGGTTCCCAAATATCTCCTCCTTCACATTCTCCGGTAATCTCAGTGTATACCTCTCAGTCATCATCATCCCCTCGGGTGCCATGGTGAGAGAGTGACCCGTTGAGTGTGACCTCTCAAATCTTTCCGACGCCGTTGTTGTCCCCGGAATCAGACCAGTGCTTCCGCTTTCTTCACCCACGTCAATCGTCTCCGCCATTGGCTCCGACGACTCCACGGTGCTTTGTTCCTCGATTTCAGCATCTGCATCAGCCGGTGATTCATCGGGATTCGACTCCGTCACGGCGTCGGCCTCCTCATTCTCGGCGAAATCCGAGGGAGAGAGCTTGGCGCGGCAAACAGGGCAAGTGAGACGTGAGGCGAACCACCTATCGATACAATCGGGATGGAAAACGTGATTGCATTTTGGCAGCAAGCGGATCTTGTCCGTGTCCTCGAACTCGCTCAGGCAAACGGCACATTCCAGAGCTGAATTCCCGATCCTGAGATCCCTCACCTCGGAGTAGACGAGGACAGGGCATCTCTCGATGACTTCACGGCGGCGCTGCTCTGCGGCGGCCGCGGCACTCTGAGCATCACTGCTGGCACAGGAATCAACACAGTGACGAACCAAGAGGGAGAAGAAAATAAAGAAGACAATGGCACCGAGGAAGGCAACAATAATAATATTGAAGTGAGATTTGCTCAAAGATTCTTTTAAGACTGAGCCGACCCAGGCGGACGATGCGCCGGTGGGCTGTGCATGGGAGCAACGGTGGCGGAGGCTGAAGGGTAAGACCAGCAACAACAGGTGGGCCCAGTGTATGGGTTTTGACTCCATCGTTGAAATAGATTTTCAATTTCAGGCAACTTTAATTTTCAGGTGAAACTCAAATAAATAAATAAATAAATAAAATTAGAAGGTCTCAAAAGGGAATGTATAGGAGGATATATGTATGGAAAGTGAAATATATAGAGAGACGATTTATTTATTTCATGTATAGAGAAGAGGGAATTGAGAAGACGATGGAGGAGGAAGGGAGGGTGGCAGTTATATAGGTGGGTTTTGTAGTGGGTGGCATTCTCCTGAGAAGACACGTGGCAAACTAGAAAATGGAAAACATATAGGTGGCTTTGTCAAGCCCCAACAAAGCTCCTTTCCTGCTTTGTTTATTTTCAAACAATTGTTGAGCAATTCCCATTATAAAGTGTATTCTTTAAATTATTTTGAATTTTTTAAGAATTCTTTTTTTTTTTAAGAATTCATATATAACTTGAGTTTTCTTTCTTTTCTTTTTTTTTAATTATGTACATAATGAAACATATTTACACATATAGCTAAAAATATGTTGTATATAGTGTTAAAAAAAAAAAAAGAAGAGCTACACTCCTTTAAAAATATGAGTCACTGGATATTTCTGAGCAATAAATTTCGGGATGAGATATTTTTCAGCAATTTTCATTTTCATTTGTTTTATTTTCCCCCCAAGTCTCCCCACCTCCCCCATCAAGAATATTCTCTGTTAAGATTTTGATTCTTTTCATCTCGTCTCATTTCAATTCGTCTATTTCTGTACTCGCTTTGTGCCAATGGTTAAAATTTATTTAATTATCATTTGTTTCTTATAAATAGATCTGAAAGTAATACTTCTTCCAATGTCTAATATTATAGCTAATTTAATATTTAATTTGGTTTTAAATATAAAACTCTAATTTGTTTTGTTTTTCTTATTTATCTATTTTTTCCAAAGTATTTCTTGTAATAGTTATACACGTTAGGTAATTTTAACTAATACACATGATTAGTAAAAGTATTCTACAAAAGATAATAAATATTTATTACAAATTACCAGCTTAACAAACTTTCTTAATCTGTTTAAATTAATCATCTAGCTCTTATATTAAGAATTAAATGTAGTATTTATTAGCCAATAACCTTGTAACAAATTTAGGTCACAAATTACTATGCAAGTTATTTGATTAGGCTCAAAACCAATCTTGAAATTAAAAAAAAATTAGTTAAATTAGTTATTTATAACAATGTATGCTAACTTTCCTAAATTACCCCCTTTAATTATATGTATTAGAACTACCCCTTAATAAGAACCCCTTACTATTAATAGGAATATTTTGAAGAAAAAACAAATCTGAAAAACAAAATAAATTAAAATCTTATATTTAAAATCAAATTCAATGTCCACAATGTAGATTAAAAACCAGAGGGTACTACTAAACAAACAACAGGTCTTTTTGATATCATGCAATTCGGTGCTCTTGTCATTTTCCCCTAAAATATTATCAAAATCAATGCAGATTATGACATTAATTAATTTGCGGGAAAAAAACTCCAACTTGAAACTTGCGCTGTTGATCTCCATATCAATAATTGATAATCGATTTCAACATGCCCTTGTAATTTTATCTATAAAATAAAGAGAGTATTTTTTTACCACCAAGCACTTGGATCAACTGATAAAGTGTTGTTCCAGTTTAACCAAAAGTCATAGGTTCGATCCTTTTGATAATTTGTAATTGTAATTCTCTGAGAGGTTGGCCAGGACATCGGGTGAAGTAATTCAAAAAAAGAGAGAGTATTTTTTTATTTTTAATATAAATCATTTTATTAAATTTATTGTATTAAGTACAATTTTATTCTTAATAATTTATTTTGTAGATTTAAATTTTTTCTTTATTTTATTAAAACATATTAAAAATGTCTCATAAAAGATTATATCAGTATTTCTTATTGTTTTAGTTTGTGGTCTTTGTTTTAAACTTTTTTTGTCTGTCCAAGAAATGTTCCAAAAGATCCGCGAAGTCCGTACGCTGCAGAAGAGCTTATTTTGGTTTGTACACAATCAGCCGGTAGCATGGATTGGCATATTGTCAAATTCGGTGCCCCTTGTTTCTTTCTCGGGAAAAAAATTGGAATTTTCTTGATGAAGAGGTTGAATTCTGTACGGCCTTGAGCCTTGTTTAGTAAGTTTCTCGGCATTTTTTAAAAAAAGTTAATATTATTTTTGGTTCTTTAAATTTAATTTAATTTTGATTTTGATTTTTTAATTTTTTTATTTAAAATATTGGTTTCTATAATTCAATAAAAATTTGAATCATTTTATCTTTTGAGAGATCAAAACTTATAATTTAAAATTTAAAAGATTAAAATCGAAATGAAGGTAAACTAAAGATTATATTAGCTTTGAAAAATGGAATTTACTAATTTATCTTAATTTTTTAAAAACAAATTGATCATATAAAAACATTATGTTAGATAACTTTTAAAGATTTTTATGTTACATTTTTAAAAAGAGGCCCACGAACTCAAAAAATAATGTTAACTAAAAATTCAAGTGTTTATTTTCTAATTATTAATTAATACAATTTAGATCAAATTCCATCCATCATACAGAGAAGAATACAATGTCGATAAGAGAGAATTCTACATGTAAAACGTATGCAGTTATATAAATCAATAAATCCAAGGAATGTGATACTAACACAAACTTTTGTTACTATTTACTATAAGAATTAAATAACTAATTTATTTAAATATAAAAAATAACTAATTTAATTATTTATAAAAAGTATTATTTTTTTGAAATATCTTTTTTAATTATTTGCATTAAAACTTGATAAAAATATTCTTAATATATGTAATTGATAGGGAAAAATTATGAATTCGGTGGACAAAATAAATTAAGATAGAACTAAAATAAGCTTCTAAATAATTTCTATATTTAGAATTAGGAGTAGTTGAAATTGAAAATGAGAAAAGAAACAAATAAAAAAGAGACAAGAGGTGAGAAAGAAGGCGGGAGAAGCGAGAAGGAAACCCAAAAGAAGGAAAAAATTGAAGACGAGAGCCGCAAAGCGATGACGGGGTGAAGTCATGAGCCACAAAAATTGGCGGCGGCTAAATTTTGCCGCTTCATTTCGTCGCCGGCTTACACGGCTCCTCAGTTTACTTTTGTACATAAATTTTCTGTTAGTTTCCGCCCTTCCTTTATACAAACAGCATTCCTATGGATCTATCTACGTTTTGGAATTCTTCCCTCTCAATACACGTTACTTCGTTTCCTAAGTTACGTTACGTAAAATCATCTCATACTTTCATTAAAATTATTATTTTAATAATTTCTATTTCGTGTGTGTATAATTAGGGTGACTCTTATTAAAGTTATTTGTGTTAATTTTTTTAAGGGTTAAAATGCATCCAATATTTTGAAATATTTTTTCGAATGCATCCAATAATTTGAAGTATTTTTTCGAATGCATCCAGTAACTTAAAATATTTTGTGGTGTATCTAGAATTCTAAAGTATTTTTTTTAAGTGCATATAGCATCTTGAAAAACTTTCTAGTACATCCAGTACCTTAAAATAATTTTTTAAGTGTGTACAATATCCTAAAATATTTTTTGGTACATCCAGCATCAAGACAAGAAAAATACTTTATGATGCTAGATGTACATGAAAAATATTTTAGACAATTGGATATACCATAAAATACTTTTCAGTACTGAATGCATTTGAAAAAATATTTCAGAACGTTGGATGCATCTAAACCTTTTTCTTAAAGTACCCGTTTTGATAATTTGTATGAGAACTACTCACTTGATGAAAAATTATTTAATATGTACAATTAATAAAGAAAATTAAAAAAATTATAAATTTGAATGATAAAATAAGTTGAGATATAATATTTAAAACTAAAATAAAATTATCTTCGATCCCTTACATTTAAGATTGGAGAGAATTAGTTTTCTGAATTTAATTAGTTTATTGCTAAGAGGTCACCTAATTGTTCTTTAGAGATTAGTAGGAAAAGACATAATTTTGAACTTAGCTTTTCTCTGTTTATCTTTCCCTCTATTATCCTTCTATACACTTATTAATTATGACCAAAATTTAAATAATCAAAATTTAATATTTTGTTAAAATTGTCATCAAAATATAAAATTATGAAGTAAATGAAGAAATGCAAACCACACACTAAAACTTAATCTGAACAATTCAAAATTATAGTGAACAAATAAACAAAATTGTAAAATGGTAAATGTTATTTAAAATTTGATTTAATAATTTAAATATGCAGTGGAGAGGTAGCAAAATGAAAGATAAATGAAGGGAAGCCAATTCCTATAACTTTCCTTTGATTAAAGTTTATTATCCGTGCCAAAAGAGAGATGGTCAAAGTTGGTCAAAGGGAACCCCACCCCACCAAAAAAAAAAAAAAAAACTCCACGATGCCCTGTGATTCATTTGGATTTGGAACCTGTCAGTAAAACAAACAAACAAAAAAAAGCAAAAAATCAAATTAAACTTACTTATAAGTGATTTTGTTATCTATAACCTGCTATACAGTTTTTTTGGCCAAACCTAATACAAAGTTTCAAAGTTTTGGTAGCAAGCAAAAAAGCATAAAATTTTATTGCTAAAATTTTCAAAAAAAGAACACAGCGTAAAAATCTGTTCATGTTATATATAAATTATCTTGTTTATAAACATAAATAATGTAATTTCAGAGGTATTCCCCCAATTTAATGTTATATATAATTGTGTACTGTGTGTATATATTTCCTAATTATTATTTTTTAATTTCCTCTATTTCATCCTCAATATGTGATTGATAATTAGTGTACCTTTTATTTGATCTCTAGACCATCAACAATTTCTTTACAATATTTATTATATTACATTAAATGAATTCATATTTTCATAGAGATATAGGATTTACTTTCATATTAAATGTAATATTTCAATCTATTTTATTTTATGAATTTACAACTCTTTTTCTAAACAATCATAATTAATTGCACATATTAAAAGAATGTTTCTATGAA